GTATCGGATCTGTATAGGGTCTTATACAGTCTGTATCGGATATGTATAGGGTCCTTTACAGTCTGTATCGGATCAGTGTAGGATCCTGTACAGTCTGTATCGAATCTGTACAGAGTCCTATACAGTCTGTATCGGATATGTATAGGGTCCTTTACAGTCTGTATCGGATCTGTATAGGATCCCATACAGTCTGTATCGGACTTGTATAGGATCCTGTACAGTCAGTATCGGATATGTGTAGGATCCTATACAGTCTGTGTCGGATCTGTATGGGATCCCGTACAGTCTGTATCGGATCTGTATAGGATCATATACAGTCTGTATCGGATCTGTGTAGGATCTTATACAGTCTGTTTCGGATATGTATAGGATCCTATACAGTCTGTATCGGATCTCTACAGGATCCCATACAGTCTGTATCGGATACGTATAGGATCCTATACAGTCTGTCTCGGATCTGTATAGGATCCTATACAGTCTGTATCGGATCTGTAAAGGATCCCATACACTCTGTATCGGATCTGTATAGGATCCTATACAGTCTGTATCGGATCTGTATCGGATCCTCTACTGTCTGTATCGGATGTTATAGGATCCTATACCGTCTGTATCGGATCTGTATAGGGTCATATACAGTCTGTATGGGATCTGTGTAGGATCCCATGCAGTCTGTATCGGATATGTACAGGATTCTATACAGTCTGTATCGGATATGTGTAGGATCTTATACAGTCTGTATCGGGTCTGTGTAGGGTTTTATACAGTCTGTATCGGATCCCTACAGGATTCCAAACAGTCAGTATCGGATCTGTATAGGATCCTATACAGTCTGTATCGGATCTCTACAGGATCCCATACAGTCTGTATCGGATATGTATAGGATCCCATACAGTCTGTATCGGATCTCTACAGGATCCCATACAGTCTGTATCGGATATGTAAAGGATCCCATACAGTCTGTATCGGATCTCTACAGGATCCCATTCAGTCCGTGTCGGATCTCTACAGGATTCCATACAGTCAGTATCGGGTCTCTACAGGATTCCATACAGTCAGTATCGGTTCTCTACAGGATCCCATGCAGTCTGTATCGGATATGTTTAGGACCCTATACAGTCTGTATCGGACCTGTATAGGGTCCGATAGAGTCTGTATCGGATCTGTATAGGATCTTCTACAGTCTGTATCGGATCTCTACAGGATCACATACAGTCTGTATCGGATCTGTATAGGATCCTGTACAGTCAGTATCGGATCTCTACAGGATCCCATGCAGTCTGTATCGGATCTGTATAGGACCCTATACAGTCTGTATCGGATCTGTATAGGATCCCATACAGTCTGTATCGGATATGTATAGGATCTTATACAGTCTGTATCGGATCTCTACAGGATCGCATACAGTCTGTATCGGATCTGTATAGGATCCCATACAGTCTGTATCGGATCTCTACAGGATCCCAGACAGTCTGTATCGGATCTGTATAGGATTCCATACAGTCTGTATCGGATCTCTACAGGATCCCATACATTCTGTATCGGATCTGTATTGAAGCGGCGGCACGCCGGCGCGCATACGTTTTTTCACCCATAGGACCACGTCAAGGTCCGTAAGGGAGTCCAAGGGAGTTCCAGGATTTTTTTTGGGGGGGGTTGCTGGTTGCTGTTGCTGTTGCTGGGGGGTGGGTCAAAATGCGTCCACGGGGCTCTGAGCGCAGCCTTCGCAATAAGGCGAGGGCGGGTCCGGACGGCTAGAGCTCACGGGGCTCTCACGCGCGCCTTTTCCTTGTTGTTGTTGATGTTATTGTTGTTGTTGTTGAACATTATTACTTCTAAAGAATAATTATTGTTGGGACCCCTGGTGCACGCCCCCCCCGCCGCGCCTAGGCGGCAGCCACATTTTCATCATTTTCGTGAGGAAGTCTCAGGCAAAACGATGTGATCCAGATCCGGTTGTTTTGTTCCCCCCCGCTTTCCCTTGCAAAAAATAAGCTAAAGTGGACATTTCTTGTTCTAACATAACCAAACTTCAAGAATCCCTTGCAAAAAATAAGGTAAAGTGGACATTCGCGCGCGCAAGACGAAATCCTTCCAAAACCTTAGTTTTCGTAGCGATTTTAACATAAAAACATCAAAAAACCAATGGTTTTTCAACAAAAAATGTCAAAATTCATCCCGCGCGCTCTTGCGGATTCGTAGGAAACCCAACACTTTTTAAACATTTCTGTCAAACGGGCTTTTGCGAGCAACTTTTTCGAACTTCTGCAACAACGGTTGCGCACCTGCCAGGGCCATCATCCCTGTCAAATAATACCATGCGGGACACATTCGTTTTTTCTTCGCGCGCGCACGCCGTCGTCGTCGGCCGCGGGGCCCTGAATAGTAGCCACGGTCGTCCGCATGCCACGAAGTGAAGTGTCCGAACGTCATAGGGCGGGAAGCTGGGTGTGGGTGGTGGCGAAGAGTCGTTTGGAAATTTGGTAGAGCTTGAACCGGCCCCCCCACAAAGTGGGGGTATTGCCCGCCTCCTATGAAAACCCTGGCACTGGTGAGAACGGAGTGTCCCCACGTGCTCGTAATTGTTGTTGTTGTTGTTGTTGTTGTTGTTGTTGTTGTTGTTGTTGTTGTTGTTGTTGTTGTTGTTGTCGTCGCCGTCGTCGTTGTTGTTGTTGTTGTTGTGGGCCTCTCACTCCTGAATAATAATTATTGCTGATCCCCCCATCACCGGTGCATGCTGATCAATCAAAGTGTGCCCCTCGACGCTCGGACTCTGTTTTTGGGCAGGGGAAGTCTTCATGCTCAAACTGCGCCCCTGGTCCCCGGATTACAACAGCAACGGCTCCCGCCTTAGACTTCTTCACAATTTAGCCAGGACCCCCGCTCCCGCCCGAGACTTCCTCGCATTTTATTCAGGAGTCGCGCTCTCGCTTAGGACTTCCTTACAATTTTTGCAGGAATCGCTTGCCCGGCGCTCTGGGGTCGCGCTCTCGCTGGAGACTTGCTTGCAATTTACTGACGTTTAGCGCCCTTGCGTTGGAATATCCTGCAATTTACTCAAGCGCCGCGGTCCCGACACCCAGGCACCCGGGAGTCGCGCTCACGCTTAGGACCCCCTTCGCAGATTACCTAGGAATCGGGATCTCGCTGCCCTTCGTGGCCCCGTTGCAGCCCTTCGTGGCCCCCTCGCTTTGTTTCGTGGCCCCGTTGCAGCCCTTCGTGGCCCCCTCGCTTTGTTCCGTGGCCCCGTTGCGGCCCCTCGTGGCCTCCTCGCAGCCCTTCGTGGCCCCCTCGCTCCCTTTCGTGGCCCCGTTGCAGCCGTTCGTGGCCCCCTCGCTGCCCTTCGTGACCCCATCTATGTATGCCCTTCGTGGCCCCCGCTCGTTCGCGCCCGTGGTGCCCCCATATGCATGCCCTTCGTGGCCCCGCTGTCGCCCTTCGTGGCCCCCTCGCTGCCCATCGTGGTCCCGTTGCTGCCCTCAGTGGCCCCGTCCTTGCCCTCCGCGGCCCAGCACACGTATGCCCTTCGTGGCCCCCGCTCGTTTGCGCCCGTTGTGGCCCATGTGTGTGCCCTTCGTGGCCCCGCTGTCGCCGTTTGTGGGCCCCTCATTGTCCTACGTGGCCCAGTTGCTAGCTTCAGTGGCCCCATCGTTGCCTTCTCTGGCCCCGCATTATCTGTCTTTCGTGGCCCCCGCTCCTTTGCGCTCTCCGTGGCCCCATACGTATTCCCTTCGCGTCCCCGCTGTCGCCCTTTGTGGCCTACTTCGTGTCCTTCGTGGCCCCATATATGTCTGCCCTTCGTGGCCCCCGCTCGTTCGCGCCCGTGGTGGCCCCATATGCATGCCCTTCGTGGCCCCGCTGTCGCCCTTCGTGGCCCCCTCGCTGCCCTTCGTGGCCCCGTTGCTGCCCTCAGTGGCCCCGTCTTTGCCCTCCGCGGCTCAACAGACGTATGCCCTTCGTGGCCCCCGCTCATTTGCGCCCGTTGTGGCCCCATGTGCGTGCCCTTCGTGGCCCCGCTGTCGCCGTTTGTGGCCCCCTCATTGACCTACGTGGCCCAGTTGCTAGCCTCAGTGGCCCCATCGTTGCCTTCTCTGGCCCCGCATTATCTGCCCTTCGTGGCCCCCGCTCCTTTGCGCTCTTCGTGGCCCCATACGTATTCCCTTCGTGTCCCCGCTGTCGCCCTTCGTGGCCTACGTCGTGTCCTTCGTGGCCCTGCTGTCGTTCTCTCTCGCTCTCGCTTTCGCTCGTCGTCGTCGTCGCCGTCGTCGTCGCCGCCGTCGTCGTCGTCGACGTCGTCGTCGTCGTCGTCGTGGTCGGTCCCCTGTCCGTCCCTCTTGGGGTCGGGTAGACGGTCCGCGGCCGCTCCGCCGATCAGCGCTGCCGCTGGCCAGGCCGACGGTCCGCGGCCGCCCGCCGCTTGCCGGTGCCCGGCCTGCAGGGAAGAAAGGTATTCCCCCCAAAAGGGGTTCGATCGAAGACGAAGAGGGCGGGTATCGAGGGTTTGGGAAATACGCGTTATTGGACACTCGAGCATATAAGGGCGAACAGTTTCAAACTTATTAGTATTGTTGTTGTTGTTGTTGTTGTTGTTGTTGTTGTTGTTGTTGTTGTTGTTGTTGTTGTTGTTGTTGTTGTTGTTGTTCAGTGTTCACGGAGGATGGCTGTCGTGGTTTCAGTGCGCCGTAAGCAAGAGCGCCGCAACGGGCACCTGGGGGCCCTCTCGGGGCCTTGGGGCCGTCAACAACAAAAAACGTCTACCAGCTCCCGAGGGGTGGTCCAGTGCTCCAGGGCTTTTGCATCGGAGCCTTTCTCTCCGCAGCGCAATCTCTCTCTCTCTCTCTTTCTCTTTCTCTCTCTCTCTCTGTCTCCCGCCTCACCCTTCTCCTGCTGCTCCTTTCCTGCTCCTCCTTCTCCTCCTGCTCCCCCCGCCTTCCGCTCCCTCTCCCTTCCCCCCCCCCTCCGCTAGCAGGATCCCGATGACGCCCGGCGTGGGCAACATCCCGATGACGCCTGGCAACGGGGTGCCAGGCACCCCAGGCTCCCCCCTCAGATCAGGGCGTGGTAAAACATCACGGCCAGTTTGTTTCGAAGTGCCTTGAGATCTGGGCGTGGCATTCTTTCACTCCAGACGTTTTGGCCTGGTTTCGGGCCCGGTGACCTTCACACATCGATCTGGCTTGGGACATGCAGCAGGGAGTTGTGGTCGAAGGTTCCTTTTTTGACAATGCACGATGCCTATGCTTTCGTGATGTCGGATCTCAGGGCCGTCTAGAGGCCGTTCCCGGCCTTGTTGCCATCAAGGGGCAACAGCTGGCCCCAGGGAAGGGGTCGAGATCTTTGGGGGGGCCCAAGCCACGAGAAGTATGCGGCCCGTCGCAATTTTGGCTCAAGTTCAGATTTCTTCAGGCCGCGTGCAACTCAGAGGCGGCTTGTGTTGGATCCCTCCTGGCCTTACGTCTTTCCCGCGTATTCATCATCATCTTGATTCTGGTTGCAGTTCTCATTTTTTTTGCGGCATCCTATTATTCGCGACGATCGCCTTACCTTGACAGGGTTCGACATGAGGCGCAGGAAAATTGCCATGCAACACATCAAACATCGACAGTGTCTGTGCATATTGCATTTGCGTACCCTGCTGGGATCGACAGCATCGAGGACAGTATATAGGTGCGTGTTGTTTCGGAATTCAGTTGTTGCTTCAATTAGATATGGTTATAGGCTGATGGAGGCAACCCATTCGACGATCCCCAGACTCTTTCACTTAACCCAGACTGGGCAGCAGTGGAAAGCAAGCTGCGAATGCTGCTAAGTCTCGCTTTTAACGCATCGATTTCGATGTGTTGGTCAAGCCGACCTCATTTTAGACTTGTAATTTTGGCAGCAGCATTTCATCAGACACTTGCGATTCGCGCGTATCGTATTCCATTGTCAAAGGCTCGGTGGCGAGGCATGTTCAAGAAGTCATTGGTGCATTACTGCGGTAAAAATCCAGCATAGAAGCTCGCACCCGCCGCCAGACTTCTTCGTGTTGTGGCCGCTTCAAGTACGGGCACGGCCGCCAGCAAACATCACTGCGGTTAATTCCCAGCACTGGACGCCCGCAGACGGCGCCGCATGCGTTGACACTTTGAGGTAATTACCCTGACGGTGTACCTAACCCTTGAGCAACGCATGGCCGGGATATATGGGCAGACATTATAGGGGGCGGTAGCGTGGCAAGGGGATATCTGTTCTGAGAACGGTCTGTGGGAGGTTCGTGAGGTGCGCGGCCCGCAGGGCACCGATCGGTGGACACGGGCTTGATGGAGGTGATTAGTTAGTGCCCTGGGTCGAGGGGAAAGCGGGGCGAGCCCCCCCCAACAACCCTCGAAAGTTGCGACAATTTCGCAGATCGAAGCCACGCCAGGGATGGCAAGGCCTAGTCAGAATCTGGGCGGGGCCCCACTGTGCTGCGCCCCCCCAGCAGCCCTCGAAAGTGGAGACGAACAGTTTCGCAGGTCGTAGCCCCCCAGATATGGCGAGGTCGAGTCTGAATCCGAGTGGGACCCCATTGTGCCGCCCCCCTCCCAGCAACTCTCTAAACTGGTGACAGTTTCGCAGATCGCAGCCCTCCAGGGATGGCGAGGTCGAGTCTGAATCTCAATGGTGCACCACTGTGCTGCCCCCCCAGCAGCCCTCGAAAGTGCAGACGAACAGTTTCGCAGATCGCAGCCCCCCAGGGATGGCGAGGTCGAGTCTGAATCCGAATGGGGCCCCACTGTGCAGGCTCCCCCCCCTCCAGCAGCCTTCGAAAGTTGGCGACAATTTCGCAGATCGCAGCCCCCCAGGCATGGCGAGGTCAGGGGGAGGTGGTAGGGGGTTGCGGGAAGGAGAACGCGACCACGGTGCTTTAGCCAAAACGAGAACCCAGCACTGGAGAGTTGGGACAACAAGACATCTGCCTCCCCGCTGGGCTCCGTCGTGCGGCATTTCCTTGGCTCGGCAGCTTTTACCCAGACCGCCTTCTCCGCGGCGCTCCCCCTTTCATTGTTTCCCAGCTTACCCGCCGCCCCTTCCTTCCCCTCCCATTCTCTCTTCCCCCCTCCCCTCCCCACCTCCTTCCATCCCTTCATCCCCTCCTCAACCCTTCTCTCGTTCTCTCCGCCGTCTTCCCCCCTTTCGCGCCCTTTCTTTTTGACTTGCCGCGGAATCGCGAGGCTCGTAGCGTTGGTGCTGGCGCTCTTCGGCGTGCGTGATACTACCCCCCAGAGGCGCCTCTCAGACGGCCCCAAGACCCCCAAGACCCACCCCCAAGTCTCGACGATCCCCAGAGACTCCTCCCATAGACCAATCACAGGCTTCCCAAGGGCACCCAGGCCCCCAAGATGTCACAAGGAGCGCCCGCACAGTGCCACTGGAGGGTTCCGGGCTGGCCAACGGCAGCCGCAGGGCAGCCGCCCGTGGAGCCCAAGGCGGGCCAGGACGGCCCCCAAGACGGCCCGAGAGCACTCGGAGGTGTCCCAA